CTTCCCACTCCAAGTAGGTTCCAGCCTTATCTCCAGTGAAGACTGCAGATCAGAGAGGTTAAGCAGCCTGCTCAAGGTCACAGAGCAGGTAAGTGTGAGGCTGGGATTGGAGACCAGGGCTCTGTGACTCCAAAGCCCACACCTACGGTCACTCACTATGCAGGATTCATGTCACCAGCTCCCCTATAACTTTCCTCACACTGGGACACCCTGAAAAGGCCAACTTCTAGCCTTTTAATTAGCATTTGTTCCAGTACCTCTCAAGTAAGGTAACTGGAGTGGCATAGATACTAAGCGAGAGCTGAGTCATTGAAATTTTAGTCCTGAGTCACAGCTTTGTCCTTCAAAACAGGAGATTGTGAAGTATCACCATGGGTTAAAAAGCCAGGATACCCCCAAATCAGCCAAATCAGCATGGTTCAGCAAAACCTCAGTCAGAAACCACGGAGTTTCACAAAGTCCTATTAATAACACAGAATAAACAAGCTAGAGAAGAGCCAAAGGAAATATTGACATCATGACCAGCCCCTCAGAGCTGGGAAATTGTAGAGATGGCAGTGGCCTCAACACCTGCCACCCTGGCTTCAGGTCTCACCTCTGTCCTTCTCCAGCTGTGTCACCATCATGCACAAATTATTTAACTGTGTTGGGTCCCATCTGAAAATGGGATGATAAAATAATGCTCCATCTATTTTGTAAGGAAGTTCATAAATAAATGGAAGTGACTTAAGTTTAATTTACAAATAAAAGACATTGCTGTTTTTTTACCATGTCTATAGACTACCATGCAGATTTACCATGAAGGAGAAATATTTTCCTCTCATTTTCTAGTATCTGCTTAAATATCCTGGTATATTTTCAGTAAATTTTATGGAAAATTTTACACCCTTACCATTAAAAATTTCCTGTTACATTTTAAGGTAAATTACATTTTAAAAGTAAATGTTGATTACTTTCATTTAATCTCCATTAAAGGGAATGGATAGGATGTATTAATGGCCTAGTGGCAACAAGTTTGGGCTTTGGACTCCTGGGCTCAAATTCCAGCTATTTACTGGTGAGGTAATCTTGGGTAAGAGATTTAACCTCTCCCTGCCACATTTTCCTCATCCATAAAATGGGGACAATAACAGCATCTAACTCAGAGTTGTTATGATAATCAAATAAAGTGAATTAGTCAGGATGTCTGCCACATAGTCAGCAATCAACAAATATCTATTGTTATTATGATAAAAGGAACACAACAAAAGGAACACATATTTTGCAAGACCTTCATTCACAAATGTTAGAGCTATCCCAAACAGGGTTCTCACTAAAAGAATATAGGAAAAAATCTTCAATACTAAAGAAAATACTTGAAAAGATGAGCTACAAACAAAACTAGTCACTTTTTAATGCTATAAAAATAAAGTATCTAAGACTTATGAAATAACAGTACATGCTGAAATTCATGGAAAAGATGACCTAGAAAACAAGGAAAATGCATAAAAAATAGTGTACACATTAAATATGATTTATCAAACAGGTAAACAGAATTGCCAATATCAATTTGTCCCATGCATGTTCCAGCAACCAAAAGCAGAGGCCAAGGTTTGCAAGGTGGCAGCTAGGTCACCCAAGATTAAATACTTACAAAAGTACTTTTTCTTAGCCCTAATTTCACAAGCAGTTTGAAGAAATAAATTTACTTGGAAATTGAGACATTGAACACTAATGACTGGAAAGTCAATTGCACACAGAAAAAGTAAAGCAATATTGATCAACTTGTCCAAAAGTTTATTCACACTTATCAGGAAATATTTACCGTCTACAATTGGCCAGGCACGTGTTAAGCCATAAGAGATAGAAAGAAGGATGATAAGGCAGTCCCTATCCTTAAGTTTCTTAGTCTAATACAGTGAACATTCAAAGATAATATTTTAACACAGCTCTTTGTTAGTGTGAACAGGGAAAAGCAGCACCTCACTCAGTCCTAAGGGTGTATGGAAGGAGTCCCAGGAAAAGTCACATTTAATGTGAAGCCAGGCTGCCAGTTAGCTCAGTTGGTTAAAACATGGTGTTGACTGCACCAAGGTCAAGGCTTCAGATCCCTGTACTCGCCAGCTGCCCCACCCCCACCCCCCAAAACACCTTAACATGAAGCCAAGAGGAGCTCGAATGACCTAGGCAAGGAGTGAAAATGCTATAAAGAGTCTTCTAGGCAAAGGGAACAGCATTTGCAAAAAAGTGTATCAGGTTGACACTTCCCTACTCCCTACTTTCCAATGGCTTCCCATTCACTTAAATAAAATTCTGACCATGGCCTTAAGGGCCCTATATGCTCTGGCCCTGACTCATCTTCTACTACTTTCCTCTTTACTTTCTGCCCTCTGGACACTTTGGCCTCTTTGCTGTCCTTAAACATGCTAAGCACATTCCCACCCTAAAGCCTTTACCCTTGCTGTTCCCTCTGCCTGGGGTGTCCTTCTACCAGACATCCTCAAGGCTCACTTTATTCAATGCCACCTCTTCAGTGACATCTTCCCTGCCCCCACCCCTCATCTAAAACACTTCGCCACCCTCAGTATGTCTATTTTTCTTTGTAGCACCGATGACCACCTGTGTGATGCTACATTGTGTCTTCATGTGTGTATCCCTTTAATGTCTGCTCATCAACTAGAATGCAAGCTGCATGAGGGCAAGGGCTTTCTCTGTCTTTGGTTCATGGCACATATCTAGTGCCTATAACTGTGCCTGGCATGTGGTGAGGTCTTAATAAAAATCTGTTGACTAATTAATGGATTCATAAATCTCTTGAAGACAGAGAGGAGTCTTGGGTGGCTCAGAGACACACAGCTAGTGAATGGCACACAGGATTGGAAGGAGAGAAGCAACACAGGATGGGGCTGGAGTAAGACTGTTTTCTCGAAGGTGTGAACAACTTTCTTTAACTTTTCTTCTTTTTATCTTGCCATCATACCTATCCCAATAGCCATAACAGTTCTCTATCACACATTTTCAATTATTGCTAATCCCTGCCTGTCCCTTAGTGCTGTTACCCAGATCCCAAAAGATAAGCTGTTGCTAGAGAAGAGTGTTACGAAATCCCCTGTTCTCCTTCCATAAAAATGACATGCACATTTTTCACAACATATAATGTTCTAGTTTGAAGGGATCAGCACAGTAATATAAATACCTAATACTTGCTAGAATTTTACAAAAGAAACTAAGAAAGTAAAAGAAAACAGCAACAGAACTCATACACACACTCAAGTATACAAACGAAGCATCGATAGATCCCCTCCGTTCAAATTCAAGTGAGTAGGGGGATGAGGGATTTTCTATACTTCAATATAGAAAGCAACTGATTGGAAAACTAGTACATACTGGGACATTAATTGGTGATGTAGGACTAGCTCCAGAAACAGGCAAACAGAACTGGGACAGAGCACATAACACAGCAAAAACAGAACTGAGAATGGTCACCACTATCTTGTCCATGTCTGGAATGGCTTTCACCTGTGGGGTCTCACTCCACACTAGAGATCCTGAGCTAAACACTTAAGTACTTGACATGGTTTATTCTTTTAATCCCTACGGCTATACTAAGAGGTAGGTGCTATCAGTCCTCCTGTGTCACAAATGAGGACACTGAAGTTTACAAAGGTGAGGTGACAAGGCTAGACTTCAAACTCTGTCTGCATCTTACCCATCATGCTACTTAACCTGACCTCTCAGACCACACCCCCACCCACTGCAGAGGAAGCTCTTTTATGTGACAAATCTATATTTTTCAGCTCCCTAAAGCCTTGTAAGGCAGCCAGAGTTAAGGAGAAGGTGCTGTTGCTTCTGTACTCCTTTCTCTAATGGTTGTCCTGTGAAAAAACAAGGAAGGTAGGACAGGAAAGAGCCCACAGAAGCAGCAGATCAACTCAGAGACAGACCACTTGGGGGATTCAAGATCCACCAACTAGGGCCAAACAAGGAAGGTAGGACAGGAAAGAGCCCACAGAAGCAGCAGATCAACTCAGAGACAGACCATTTGGGGGATTCAAGATCCACCAACTAGGGCCAGCCCGTGGCTCACTCGGGAGAGTGCGCTGCTGATAACAATAATGATCGGTTCGGATCCTATATAGGGATGGCCGGTTGGCTCAATAGCTGAGCGTGGTGTTGGCAACACCAAGCCAAGGGTTGAGATCCCCTTACCAATCATCTTTTTTAAAAAAAAAAAAAAGATCCACCAACTAAACACTCCTGGGCTACAAGTTGGCTCAATAGCTGAGCGTGGTGTTGGCAACACCAAGCCAAGGGTTGAGATCCCCTTACCGATCATCTTTTTAAAAAAAAAAAAAAGATCCACCAACTAAACACTCCTGGGCTACAGAACATAAAAGAGCTGAAAGATTACTCCTTGTAGACGCCCTGCTAGGTGAAGTTCACTCACTACTCAGCTCTTGACCAGACCTTGCACCTCCTCTGCACTTGACACTGGTTCTCTAGCTGTTAACAAGACTGAACCTCCAAGTTATACAACAGTATTTAAAAGAGGGAAAGGGCATCTGCATCACTTGGTGGCAAACATCGTGAAGTTCACTCACTACTCAGCTCTTGACCAGACCTTGCACCTCCTCTGCACTTGACACTGATTCTCTAGCTGTTAACAAGACTGAACCTCCAAGTTATACAACAGTATTTAAAAGAGGGAAAGGGCATCTGCATCACTTGGTGGCAAACATGAAGCTCCATCCTCTTGGTTTTACTTCTGGAATTTTGTTAAATCGACTTAAATATAGAAAATATGATTTGAATAAATTCTTTATTAAGAATCTTATGAAATTGACCTAATTTCTGGCAAAGAGAAAAGCAAATGGGTGATGAATTTCTTCATATTAAAAGGAACAGTTATATAACCAGCCCCCACAGCAGAGCCAGGCTGAAGTCAACATGATGAAAGACCGAAATAGCCTTGCTTCTCTCTACAAGTCAAGACTCCACTGGGGGATTTCACAGGGACATACTTCTCATACAGCCTCTGTCCTCTCATAAAGGCCTTCACTTCGTTGTCCAATGGGAAGGTGCCGTCATCCTTTCTAAAGCGGTAGAAGAGTTTGACATCCTTGAACTCCTTATGCTCATCACACACTGAAACACAACATACACAGAGAAGCAGATAAAAATAAAATCACTCGTTTAATTATTCAGCTGACATAAGATGCTAATTAAAAATCATTGGATTACCTAATTCTCGAAGCATGTGAGTATTATATCATAATATAGCATATGAGATTATACATGTAAAGTATTTATTACAGTACCTGGTAGAGAGTAAGTACTCAGTATTACTAGCTATCATCATCACCATCATTATTATTATTATCTATTAAGAGGTTTACAAAATGCAAGTCATCATTCATTCCACAAACTCTTCTTGAGCATGATTTTGGGGCAGGCATCAGACTCAAAGAATGTGAAATCTAGTGAGATAAAGAGAAATGTCAATGTATACAGAAGTCCCCCTTACCTGGGGTTTTACTTTCCACAATTTTGTTACCCATAGTCAATAGCAGTCCCCAAACAGGTGAGTTTAGTACAATAAGAAATTTTGAGAGGGTCAGGGAGAGACTGCATTCACACTTTTATTGTTATAATTGGTCTATTTTTATTAATAGGTTTTTTTGTTAATCTCTTATTGTGCCTAATTTATAAATTAGGACTGGCTGGTTAGCACAGTTGGTTAGAACACAGTATTATAACACCAAGGTCTATGGTTTGGATCCCCCTACTACAAATTAAACTTTATCATAGACATGTATGAGGGGTCTTCAAAAACTTCATGAAAAGATTTGTATTATCTTTTCATTCCTTTTTCCATGAACTTTTTGAAATACCCTCATACATATGGGAAAAAACATAATATGTACAGGGTTCTGTACTATCCATAGTTTCTGGCCTCTACTGGGGATCTTGGAATTTATTCCCTGTGGTAAGTACTACTGTAATTAAAATACAGTGTAATTAGGCTAAAGAAGTAAGGAGAAACTGCAGTGGGAGAACAAAGGAGTGTCCAGTACCCCAGTAACCCAGTAACCCAGCCTTGGGGAATGGAAGCTTCCCTGAAAAGTTTGCATGTAAGTGGAGAACTAAAGAATAAGTAGAAATTGGGCAAAAATGAAGAGAAAGGGTATTCAAGCCCAAAAGAACAACAGAATATACAAAAGTCTAGGCCAGGTTGAGAGATTTCAAGGAGATATGCTCATGAATATGCTCATGAATGTTCACTGAACCACTAAAAGTAACAGCAAAAACTTGGAAACAGCCTAAATGACCATCAACAGGAGAATGGATGGCATAATTATACACGGCATACTACACAGCAGCAAAACTCAACAGATATACTATCGGCATGGATGAAACTCACAAACAGCACGTTGATCAAGTTGGAAAAGAATAAACATGCATCTCTATCATAGTTTAAAACATTCAAAACAATATGATACATTGCTCAGAGATGCATATACAGAAAAGTATAAAGAAGCACACATAGAAATAACCCAAATGCCTCTTGGAGGAAGGAAGGGAATACAGCTGGGGAGAGGTACACAGGAGATAATATAAAGTAAAATGTTTTATTTCTTAAATAAGTAGGCTCATAAAAAGATGAACTCTTTTGTTTCCTCTCAAGACACCTTGACTGCTGCCATCTCACTCACCATGATGAATAATGCCCCGGTCTGCTAATTTCTGCATGAGTTTAATTGCTGTCTCTTGAAACACAACATACACAGAGAAGCAGATAAAAATAAAATCACTCGTTTAATTATTCAGCTGACATAAGATGCTAATTAAAAATCATTGGATTACCTAATTCTCGAAGCATGTGAGTATTATATCATAATATAGCATATGAGATTATACATGTAAAGTATTTATTACAGTATCTGGTAGAGAGTAAGTACTCAGTATTACTAGCTATCATCATCACCATCATTATTATTATTATCTATTAAGAGGTTTACAAAATGCAAGTCATCATTCATTCCACAAACTCTTCTTGAGCATGATTTTGGGGCAGGCATCAGACTCAAAGAATGTGAAATCTAGTGAGATAAAGAGAAATGTCAATGTATACAGAAGTCCCCCTTACCTGAGGTTTTACTTTCCACAATTTTGTTACCCATAGTCAATAGCAGTCCCCAAACAGGTGAGTATAGTACAATAAGAAATTTTGAGAGGGTCAGGGAGAGACTGCATTCACACTTTTATTGTTATAATTGGTCTATTTTTATTATTAGGTTTTTTTGTTAATCTCTTATTGTGCCTAATTTATAAATTAGGACTGGCTGGTTAGCACAGTTGGTTAGAACACAGTATTATAACACCAAGGTCTATGGTTTGGATCCCCCTACTACAAATTAAACTTTATCATAGACATGTATGAGGGGTCTTCAAAAACTTCATGAAAAGATTTGTATTATCTTTTCATTCCTTTTTCCATGAACTTTTTGAAATACCCTCATACATATGGGAAAAAACATAATATGTACAGGGTTCTGTACTATCCATAGTTTCTGGCCTCTACTGGGGATCTTGGAATTTATTCCCTGTGGTAAGTACTACTGTAATTAAAATACAGTGTAATTAGGCTAAAGAAGTAAGGAGAAACTGCAGTGGGAGAACAAAGGAGTTATCGCCAGAGGACTCTGTAGAGACTCCCCACCAAGGAGATGTACACCCTGGATCATGGACTTCCCAGCCTCCAAAACCGTAAGAAATAAATGACCAAGTTTCAGGTGTTCTATTAAAAGCAACAGAAGATGAACTAATACAGAAAGAAATGAAGAACTAGACCTTTTCTCTGACAGTGAGGCCTCCCAGGCACAACAATAAACTGGGGGACCAGTCCAAGGGCCGAAATATCCCTCCATAGCTGTGGGATCCACCTCTGACTATGCAAAATGAACACTAGGACATGAAACTGAACATGATCTCATAAGCAAGACTCTCCCCTTCCCACCACCCTGAGCCCTTCAGCTATGAAAAAAAGTGTAACTAATAGTTAGCTGTCAAAGTCTAGCTTGGAGAGGAAGTGACATTCTGAGATAATTTGGAAAGGGGCCAAGGAGATGTCACCTGCCTTATGTCAGAGCACAGATAGAAAATGGACAAAAGCAAGGATGGAGCTACCTACATTCAGCACAAACATGATGGAAAAAAGCAAACAGCTATGCAAAATGCTAAAGCAAAAAAAGATAATACCAAAGATAAAAGAAAAAAGGAGAGAAGGAAGAAAGAGAGCATGCAATAGATAAAAAGAAGAGCCCACTCTGAAAGAAAACAAAACTCAAGAAACAGAAAGAAATTACCCTAAAGTATTCTGAACTATAAAGCAAACAAACAAACAAACATGAATTCAGTAAAATAAGATGAAATGATTAAGAAAAGGGAGATACAGATGTTAGGAAACAAACTGAAGTCAGACAACACCATTAATAAACAAATTAGTAACAGCAAGGACAAATAAATTACACAGCTGAAAACTGAAAAAAAAAAAATTTTTTTTTTTTATTCGGCAGCTGGACAGTATAGGGGTTGAACCTGAAAACTGAATTCTGATTGAAAAAAGCCTTTAATAAAAAAAGGAGAAAGACAAAGCAATTAAAGCAAATAAAAAGAAGTTAATAGATAGGAAAGTTTTACAAAACTACTAAATCTGGGCTGGCAGTTGTCACTTGGTTACAGCTCAGTATTATAACACCAAGGTGAAGGGTTCAGATTCCTACTGGCCAGCTACCAAAACCAAAAACAAACAAAAAAACTACTGAATCAATTCCTAATATTTCCTCAATATAAACACAATTAGTTTAAACAAAACCAAGCAAAATAGCCACCACAGCACTACTCCAAGGAAGGCTTGGGCGATTTTCTGAACAGAAGAGGTTGCAAAAGTATTTCACAGCAAGCCAATGAGCTCAGCTCTTCCCAACAATGAGGACATGTTCTGGTTACGGCATGATGTTTCAGGAAGTACAGACCCATCAAGATTCCTACAAGGACCATCAAGATTCCTACAAGGTTCCATTTCATACAGCTCTCTCAGTTCTTTTCTGAGTTTCACCCCAAAATGCCATTTCTGAGGACAGTTAGAAAGACAGGACTAGGAACACAAAGACTTGGCTCTCGCCCTGCACTGCCAGTAATTTTACGATGGCCCAACCCTGAGTATCACTGTTCTCATTGGTAATTTGGAGACACTGGTATTCAACTATGCACTAGGCATAGTTTTATCTACTTCATGGGCATTAATTCTCATGACAACTCCCCAAGGCAGGTTAATTCCAAAACCACAAATGA